GACAGCGAATCGGATGTCTCGTTTTAATATTTTGAGTATGCAAACTAATATTCGGCCGGGCAAATTTAATTTCTCGGACGACGCTCGCGCTCATCTCGGATGCAGGGTAAATATACATAGCGAGCAGTAAATATACATAGGAGCGCGAGGAGCTCCAGAAAGGACGGAAAAATCGAAACACATTACAGGGACTTGCCCCGTCCATCGAAAAAAAAAAGAAGGAAAAAGTAGAAGAAAGAAAAAAATTTCACTTGTACCGGTTAGTTATGGCATAACGCGCGCGTTTCGATAGAGTTTCCACCTGAGAGTCTTCAAGAGGAAATATCGAGCAATCGAGAGAACAGACCTCGATCGTAAGAACCCACTTCCCACGAGAAAAATGAGATATAATTGAAGAATTTCCAGGAATATCTCTATAACTCGAACAGAATTTACCCGTCGAAATGACAGTTCATGTCCTCATCTAGTAGGTAGTATTCGTAATTATTTGATTAATTCCTTCGCCGAGTCGATAGACCTACTTTATAATCATCAACATTAAATTCTCTCCCTTCCCTTGGCATTTCTTCCTATTCATTATGTCTATCACTGACGATCCGTGGTAATTGTTGACATATTTAAGTTAACAGTGACCGTCACAGTGGCCAGCTAATCCGAGTTAATGTAATGACAATTGATCATCCTTCCAAAAGGTGACGGGAGATTTACGTTTTCCCGGCATAAATTGATTCCCACTGAAGGGATTAAATTATTTCCGATGAAAACGCGCTTCCTTTTTGGCCTACGCTGGTCGATAAACAGATCGGCCTGACGTAACTATTGATATTTGTTTTTCCGAGGGCGCCACGCAAAGGATTAACCCGGGGTGGCCATTAATCTCGATTGTCCTCGACTGGAAAATCGACCGGCGGACGCCCGATTTCTGCCCACGTTGAGCCTAATCGGTTTAATTAGATACAACGGCAGGTCCTAGGTTTGATCAGGTTCAAAGAATACCTTTAAGAGGATTAGAATCAATCGTGTCAATTAACCGGCACGTGCGACCGACAATCAATTCGAAACTCCCGGCATGCAGGAACGACGTACCTGTTAAATCCGATTTTCCCCGTGTGTATTCACCTACGCGTGGGATATTACGATTCCGAAGGTAGTTCGGTATATCTGATTGTCAATTGCAATATCAGATCAGAGACGTGAATTATATGCCACAACCTCTACATGAACCTCTTTCTATCGCGACGCGAAGCTCGATAATAATTCCTCGCGCTATGAAATGCGTGATTTTTATGTGAGAATATTTTCTAAAGAAATGTAGATTTAATTGGGAAAGACGTAACAATTATGTACGCAGAGTAGAGGGTTCAATTCATTTTAGGCGGAATTCAATGACGGATGCTGATAACCAAGCGCGGTTTCGGTCGATGCAAATATTTCGATGATACTTCAATGATTTCGACGATGTATGTCCCGATAATGGCCAACATCGACCAATTAAAGCGGCTGCGTTAATGTATCCCTCTGCGATTTAATTACTTACAAGTCATTTTGTTTATTGCAAGCTCCGTTCGTAACGCGAATTCATTTGGCTCGTTACCGGAGAAAATGTAATTCCATCCCGCCTGGTGTCGAGGAATGCTGACAGAAATTTCTGTGGTATTTTCTGCCGCTCTTTGGAATCGGTCATTATATATTAACAAGCATATGTATTAATGTACAGAAAGTTAAACAATTAAATCATTAAATTCCACGCGTGGTGAAATTAATTGCGGTAGCATTTGAACAGAATAATTGGAGTTAAAATCATTATTTAATTATGACTGAACCAATTTCACCTCTTAAGCAAATACGTTCTTTTATTCTTAAGAATATGAATTACTTTTCACATACATACACAATTACTATTGTTTCAGCACACGTGTCGTTTGGAACTTCCTCTGTAATATTGAACTCTAGATAGGCTAGACATAAAAATCTTGTAACTTTGTGAATGCCGTTTAACTTTGGGAAGCTAATTGAAATATCGAGTAATTCCCCAATTGTCAAGCTCCCATTTTATCGACATTTGCGTGCTGTCCCCGTTATCAAAAAGTCATTTCGCAGCAGTACCGAATTCTCCCGAACCCACTTCTAACAGTTGACCAAACATTTTCATACAAGTTTGCAAGAGAATTCGGTCGCGTCATCGGTGAACCCGTAAAACGCGGGAGCGGGAAACTTTACGAACGATCGCGTAATTTACGGTCGCGTAAAGCCCGATTATAGTCCGATTTGCGTTATAGTTACGGTGCAAGAATCGCTCGATAATCATAGATATTTCAGTGGGACTGGGATTTTCGTTTTCCTGTATAAATGCGAGCGACGACCGCGTCCATCGGGACATTATTCCCGCGTCCATGGTCGGGAATAAAAATGAGCCTCGCCATGAAAATCCAGATCGCTTTAATTGCTCGATAAGCACGATCAAAAGCCTCGCCCGGGGGGGAGGTGGAAATTTTCGGGGAATTTTTGCAAGAATTATTAACATCCCGGGTACCTCCATGGGTGGGGATCGCGTTCCGCGGTTTCGAGCACGTCAAATTTCTCCCCCGAAAAGTCCATCGGCGCTCGGGAATTAAAACCCCCGGTCGCTGTAAAACCGATCGCTCCTCGATTTAATAATCGCACAATAAGCGGTCCCGAAATTGTTATTTCTCCCTGAGAGGAGTACGCAATGAAATTCCTTATTCGGCGCATTGCCACCGAACAGGGCATCGATCGGATTGATCGGATCGACTTTTCTGATCAACCATCGCGCTCTGGTCCGCATATTTTCCGGGATTCGCGATTCTAGGTCCATCGCCGTGTCGCGAATCATAATTCCGCGCGATTCGCCCCAAACGCGGGACATTATTTCACCGGTTTTATTGACAAGCATGGATTATTTATCGCCCAAGTTTATATCGAGCGTGACCTGTCGCGGAATGGGAGCCGAACTCGTGCCGAGTGGTCCATCAACCTGGCCCAAGAAAATTGAATTGTCGTTCCTGCACTTGTCGTAGTGCACGTTATTATGCTTCTTCGACGGTAAAATATTTAATTCTAGTTGGGATTTTGGTACCGAATGCTCCTTCTCGCGTAATTCAAATCGAGAGATAGGTTGAAAAGCTGCTTAGCTTCCTTTTTGTAACAAAAGTCGGGGAGATTGTCACGATTTAATAAATATATACAATTAGACACCGAGGTAGATGATAGAGGATTAATTGGTAAGAATTAAAATTCCAGACATACCAGATTGTCCTCTTGATAGGCGAATCCTCTGATATGGCACTAATTGTGTCACTAATTGCACTTTTCTGGAACAAAGGTATAAGTGGCTATGAGAATCAGTTGGAAATTCAAACTTGAAATTATATATTTTTCAGATTTCTGGGATTAGAAGCAAAGGGATAATAATGGCAATTGTTAATGTTAATGTACGTTCCGGAAAGCGGACCTTCCTTACAGTCTTCCTATTCACGGTGTAAAGTTACAAACTATTCGGTAAATCGAGTTGAGAGAGAGGTTTTATAAACAAAACCTTTTCGATGCCACTTTTACATCGCCTTAAGTCGTTAAAGTCCCGAACTGTTCGAGACACAAAAGCCATCGAACAACTACGAGTTGTACAAACCGATTGAATTCGATGACTTACCTAATCGCGTGCTGGCCAAAGAGCTCAAAGCGAGTTTTCGATGCCTCCCGGACATTCGATTATCCCGATTTGATCAAAGGTTAAAGGCTGCTGGTCCCGCATTCGGCGGAACACGATTTACCCGTGGAGAGTGTTCTCTAAAATTCATTTGCTGTCCAACAGCGGCAACGTAAAGAGATACTAGGACTCCTTTAATTTCATCCCTGGACCCGGCCAGCGGCTGGAGTGGTCCTCAATAAATTTGCAAACCGAGCCCCACGATCACTGGAATCCGGTGATACCCGACTGGAATATCCCGATTTTTCATTCCTCTGTAATTTCTCCATCTCAAACGTACAACGTATACACCTTTGTAGTACCGGAAACGAATGAATCGATACGGGGCAAATATTCGCAGTTTTACTCCGAGGGATCCTTGGATAGATTCTGATTTTTAGGTAGATAGTTAACACTAGGTTTACGGGCGTTTTTTATATACCTGTTTCTACGAGCACCCGTCAAATTGACGGGTAAACGAAAACACGCATTTTCTTTAAAAAATCGATTTATTCGAATTAAGTCTGTATTAAACAACACTAGGCTTTACGTTTAAATAAATTATTAATAAGTAAAAAGTCCTTTTTTAAAAATGATCACGGAAATGATTGGAATGCTCGTCCTCTCATCCTCGGAGTCAGAACTAGAAAGAATGTGCATCCTTTTCTGCTACGACACCCTTTCAAGAAGTTTTCCTCTTCACTATCCGAAGATCCTTCTATTTCTCCATTTTCAATGCAAACTTTCACTCTCATCTTCACCTTACACTCAGTGCAACGAATACCAGCATACTCATACCAGTTTATGAACCGCCATGATAAACTTAATATTCCGTTATCATTGGGGAACTTAGTCACAATCGAATTAAAGGTCCGTGTTAGGATTTTGAACCAGACTGATAAAGGGGTTAAATTATTTCTCCCTTTATTTCCTGACACTTTAAATCTCCGCGCCACTTTACTCGCTGAGGGAAGAGATTTCTCAAGAAACGGCTTCATATCGGACCGTTTTCATTACCACTCTGACACCTCGGGGTTCTTATCGGTACGACGCATTATTCCTTGCTAACCTTATCATCCACGCGAATGCTTAGAAAGCGAAAATATATTGAAATCCAAGATTTTATAACAGACCACTCGGTTATTATGGATATATATCTACTTCGAATATTAAGATGTACCTTGTTCTTGAGATAGCAGGAATAATTCTGAACCATTGGGCTCAATTTCTGTATAATTGCATCGGTTTCATAATTACATCATTTCATTACATTCCCATAAAATGCATGCGCAAAATGTGGATAGTCGCAGGTACGTTGAAAATTTCTCTCAGGGTATATAGCACCGATTTCGTAAGAGATTTAAGCTGCATTTACATATTAGCTCGGATATTCGGAAAGGCCGGTCGATAACTAGAATTATTTAGCTGCGAATCGGCGTACGATTTGAAATTTAAATGCGGACGCGCCGGAATTTCATCCGAAAAAAGGTGACGGGCATAGTTAAAGATTAGAATAATTGTCGGAAGGAAAAGTGAATTCCCGTTCCACGCATTTTAACATAATCGTGCAATTTCGTACCTTCTTCCATTTATGTTGTGGACTGTTGTCGGGCGAATTCGAGCGGTTGCGGCAACGGGTTTTCTGGGTAGTCGGGAGGGCGAAGGGGGGATGTCTTTGTGTCCTGGCGAAAGAATTTTGTTTTGAGTCAGTCCAGTTTCGACACGCGCGCGAGGCGGAGCTCCTCATCCCTTTCGATCCATCTCCGAGGTAATAATACAGAATAATCACAATACAGAATATCCAATCCGTGATACGTCTACGATATATTAAATTGTGATACATTATCTAAATGTGTAATTCTCAGTAGAAGAAATATTATTCCGTTTTTAATGTATTTCATCGCTGGGGTTTTGGTGATTGGGTCTCATAATTCGTTGTAATTTCTTCTGTATAAATCAAACAGGGTGATATATATATTGAGAGTTACATTTATAACGTTTATTGTCGCAGGTTATTCAGAGCGTGATCCAAGCGTGTCCGTTGGAGGCGATGTTATCACGCACAACGTCAGCGATAGGCCGTACTTCGAGCTGAACGTACAACGTAATGTGACAACCGCTGTTGGTCAGACTGCTTTCCTGCATTGTTGGGTGCACGAAATCGGCGACAAGGAGGTGAGTCTCGTTACGCCGTCTGATAGCATTTTAATGCCTCGTCGTTGGCATAGAATGTCATCTTCCAGGACATAAAAATATTCCCTCTTCCCGGACGAAGTCGTTACTACCCTCGATATCGAACATTTATTTATGAAGGAATTTTAGCACAGCGTACCAGGGAAATACTTAAAGTAGTTCCTTTTCACCGAGGATTGGTTTTGGCCTTTTTGCATTCATTAGTCTCGACGCCGCTCGCGGTGTCGTTTTCATTCGGTGAAAAATATATCAACACCTAACGACCTTATCGAGTCTATACAGTTCCGCGGAGTTGACGTACTTCAGTACGTACTCTTTGCTGGTCGTTATACGATCAGTCGCCTTTTAAGAAAAACTCTTCAATTATACAGTCTCGAGATTGTAAGGGACACGAATGATAAGGGAGAATTTTGCGAGATTATTTACTTTTTACATTCAATTCAATTTATATTAAATTAATATCTCTGTTGTAGTTAAGGTGATGTGAAAGTGGCGTCAAAGAGGTATCGTTTATGAAACTTTTCTCCGAACTGGGTGTACCGAATTGTCTCAGACTTGACAATGTGAATGTGGAGGCTATAAGGAAGATCCTGAAACCCATGATATTTCAATTTTAAGATAATTTGTTTCTAGCTATTTTGAGCAATTTTAAGAAGAAATGTAGTTTCCCGAGTTTCAGGACCTACCTTAAGATTTGAAAGAAATTGGTACACCCAATTGGAAGAAAAGTTTCATGAACAATCGACCCCTAAGATTTTTACATCCCCTTAACGCACATGGAACTACTAAGGAACACCGGATGAACGACAATTAGAACGGGACGGTTGATCGGAGTATTTTATTAGAAGAATTTTTAAAGAACGTTGTACGAGTTCGTGCAATTTAGTAGTTTACAGTACACCGAGGTCTCGGGATTATTGAGGTAACAAGTGGTCGCTAATGACCCATAAAAGGAGCTCGGGTGGTCGTAAATAAGAAAAAGTCCCTGAAAGCTCTGTACGCACCATCGAGACCAATTCTATAGTCCTAGAAGAAATATCAGTTTTATTGGCGGAACCGAGGGGAAGTTGGGGGCGAATACTCAAAGGTAGCTTTTGCCGAGAGTTCTTGTTTCTCGGTAACACGAGGGTGGAAAATGTTGAACACGCCATCGACGGAAACTCGGTTCGATTCGGTTCGTCGCCTAAAGCCGCGGCAGTTGGCTGCTCGAAACTATACCGAACTATACGAAGTTACGAGCACCCGGAAAATTGGGTCGCGCCTGCTGTTTTCTCTGCGATACAAGAAATTTTATAGATGGGCCTCGTTCATCAATCACGCCGTAATATCCGTGGCATCGCGTTACATTTTCACGTGAGCGCACTTTTACGGTCGACCCTGTCATCGCGTTATCGACATTTTTTTCAGGGACTCCCGAATGTTCAGAATGCACTCACGAATTACCGAATTTGGGTCTATACCGAATTTTTCTATATAGCGAATATGATAAATATCAAATATCAATGACCCTGTCATCGCGTTATCGACATTTCTTTCAGGGACTCCCGAATGTTCAGAATGCACTCACGAATTACTGAATTTGGGTCTATGCCGAACTTTTCTACGTAGCGAATATGATAGATATCAATTGATAAATATCAATCAAATATCAATGACCCTGTCATCGCGTTATCGACCTATTTTTCAGGAACTCCCGAATGTTCAGAATGCACTCACGAATTACCGAATTTGGGTCTACGCCGAACTTTTCTATATAGCAAATATGATAAATATCAATATCATAAAAATAGTATTCTAAAGTGAAATACTTTTCGCCAAATATTTCAAATGTCCGCGAGATATTACGAAATGTACGATTTTTGTTAAACATATAGAAAATATAAGAGAAATATTTTCTGCTTCTACGGTTGTTTACGTTATATTTGTCAGATTATTGCACTCGGGAGGAACTAATAACTCATAACTCGGGAGCAAAGGTCTGCGACTTGAAATGGAAGCTACGCTGAAGTTTTAGGAAGTACTGCAATTAGCGAGTCGGAGAAGCTTTCACCGTTTAGCATCAGCCCAGGACAGGAGGACAAGTTAAAATTGAGAAGGTCCTTCGCCTTCGTTACTAAATGAACATTCGTAAAGAGCGGTCTTGGCTCCTACCGGAGGATCCGATATCGGTCTTGGTGGCGTATTCTTCAAATGCATTAATTACGAATCCATTAAACGCGGATCTTAGCTTCCGGCGTAAATTGACGAGTCTTCATCTTCCGGAAACCACTGACCTAACTTTCATATTGCTTGGAAGGACCTTTGAGATTTTCCACTTAAGGGGATGTGAAAGTGGAATCCGAAAGCTCAATCGTTACCGAAATGACATATCGAACGCTTCAGTTCGTATAAATCTCAACGTAGACTGTAAAAGACAACCATAATTAGAAATGTTGGTAACAGGACGCGCCAACATATGGTCCCGCTCGAGTATTCAAAATGGCATTATCGTCAAGTAGGGTACAGATGAATTTTATTTTATCGACCTCGATTAAATCTCTCAGTGCCTTCCATATCATCTTAAAAGTCTTTAAGCGAAATGAAAGAACCGCCTTTCACGTTGTTTGTTCACAAAGTAATTAAAATGACGCGTGGTACTCGTCCCGTCAGAAAATGTTAGGTACTTTTTCCTCAAGATTTTCTTGCATTACGTTTCATTCCATTAGCCGGAGGAGGCAACGATTCTCCTCGCTAGCTTCCCAAAATTGTGCTCTTCTCTGGATGTACTTTGAATGTAACGGGAGCGTTCCGTGTGTACAGAGCGACGTCTTAAGGTGCGTACACAGGGCAAGAGTCGACGTTTCTCGCGGAGTCGTCGTCTGGCACAACTTAGGGCGAAATACATGCGAGATTCAGCAAATAGCCGGAGTTCCGGCGCAAAGTGTTATGACGTCGTTCGCCAGGAAACGTTTCCCGTAATGTCGGGCCGGTGGATGAACGAAATTTGTATATCGGCCACCGAGAACAGGTCCAGGATAAAACCGCGCACTCGAGGAGTCTCGGTCACCTGGAACGCTTTCGGAGAGGTTAGGGACGATCCTGGCCGGGACGATGAAAGAGTTTTAACCCGACGCCCCGTAACCGAGACGTTCCTTCAACGGTTCGTTAAACCTTAACGCGTCTCCGGGGCGAAGATTACGCCCTCGCTTAATTCCTAATTCCATTACCGAGAAATTCCCGGCGTTTCGTCCCGACCAGCGTTTCTTCCGAAGAGCTGGGTTCACGACCCGCCCTAAGTATCGCGATCCGAAGTCTAGTACCTTCTTAGAAAATTACTCCTTACTCGCGACTTACGGAGACGTTCCGCCCCGTACTTGCCTCTGCCTTTTTCTTAAAGGCCCTCGCGAATTTCTTGATTACCCGAAGGAAACGGTCCCGCGGATCCTTTTGCAATTCCATCGCTGGTGGAGACTCCGTCGTCCCATCGCGGTTCCTGCGGAAAGGGACCACTCGACCTTAGGAAACGCTTCTCCACGCCAACGAAACGACGTTGATAGGTATATGTACAGATACATAGGTATTCTAGGTACATAGATACGCCTTGAATAAGGCCTCTTCACCCTGCGTGGGGTGTGATTTTCGTGATGCCCGGTGCGCACTCTAGGGTACGCTAATCCCGTTTCATCGTCAAGACTGTATTACAGACGGGACGATAGTCGGTACCATGTTGGTGGAATGGAAGGACGGTGTTATAGGGAGAAGGGGAAGAGTTTGTGCACTTTTTGAGTCGTAGGTGGGGAAAGCAAAAATGGGCTACAGTACACAAAAAGTACTTGACGGTACGAGTCCATGTTTTAGAATTTGAGATTTAAGTTATGGGCCAAGAGCGAGATGTACGCGAAGAAGAGAAAGCGAAGAGGGTCGCGGACAACGCGAACCATGTGGGAATTGATAGAAGGCAGACACGGACTAGAAAGAAAAGAACACCCGGGTCGCTGGGAAAGGATACCCTGCCCCGGGGGTTCGAGGGTCGCCTCTTACCCTTAACGGACGGCACGGCGCCAGGATGTCCGAAGGGTTGTCGGGTCCGCTCGAGTATCTCTATGACTCGATACGGTATTAACGGTCGTTAATTAATGTTGACGTATTGGCTTGAACAGGCTGCAAAATGGAGTTCCTCGTTGAATTCGGGGGTACAAGCTCGGAATTCGCAGTCGGGTCACGCGATGACTTGGACGGCCTCGCGGAGGTGACACTTCGCTTAAGTTTGGCCACTTCATAAACGGCTCGCAGTTGAGCTGGATGTTCGAAAAGCTCGCGGAACCGCGAACCGCCTTTAACGAGCCTCGCGAAATTTCTTGCTAATTGCTCAGGAGTTAGGTGCGAGAGACCGAGACCGAGACGGAGGCGACGAGGGGCGCGACCCGTTAACGACGTAATTATTCACCGGTGAGCCAATAACGCGAATTCGGGTTAATTCCAAACCGCGAGGAAGGCGATGGGAATTCGATCATGCCCGGCTCAATGGTGCCAACCGCAGACAGTGTTTTCGGCCCGGTAATTACCGAATCGCGGGAGAAGCCCGCTTCGGATGTCGCGACCCCCCGCGAACACCTCGCGACCCCCCCCGAGAGAGCCGAAAGCCTTTTATTCGATCCGAACTTCGGAGTGACCGATTCGATCGAGCTCTCGGCTTTGATTATGAATTCCCGTCGGCCGATTCGATATTGAGTCCGCGGACACATTTCGATCACGGGGATGATGGAAGTGCCGGGAGTGTGCTTGAAATTCGACGCATACTTCGTTCGGTACAAACTGTGTTAGCTTTGGTTTACATATGTTTAATTCGCTTCCCATTTAAATGCTATTTTATGGAAGTGAAGGATGACAAAATTAAAGTACCTGGCCTATCTATCTAATCTTCTTTAACCCTTTCGTTACGAGCGCCGACTATAGTCGGCACACATGCGACGACCTTTGGGTACGAGCGCGAAATTGAGTCG